ACTATGAAATGTTGTTAAGGTTTGATGATGTGAAGATTATGGTAAATTGTGAAGCATGAAGCATTTATATATCCATTGGGAAAGAAAAAGGGAAAAAGTATTTTTTTTAAAACCAATAAAATTGTTTTGGGGAAATATTTTTGAAAGTGTTTGTGAAAATCGGACACCTAGGAGGTGCCTAGTGGTCCGTGATATTAATGTGGTCTAGAAGGGAATATGGTTGAGCTAACTAAACCGGATGTGACGTCTTGGAGGTGCCTTGTGGTCGTGGATAGTTAGCCAACCCTCCATTCGTAATGCCTTGGAGGTGTCTTGGGTCGGATTACACTAACAGTTTGGAAGTTGAAACGGTATTATTTCAAAAATGGGGAGCAACATTGTATGGCATGGCATTGCATTGACATACATTGTATATTTGGTGGTTAGACGACTTGCGTATATATTTGTTGATTATTATCGTTACTTTGCTTGTTTTTCCTGAGATATGATCCCGTTCTCTCGTATCCTATTCATTGTATGGATTCACAGGGTCGTAAGAGGTGTATCTTAGACGCTTCTTACTGAGCTTTATGCTCATTCTATCATTTTAATATTTTTCAGGTCACGGGAAGGAAGTGGCGGATGACATTCCTCCATAGGTTTGAATGGGTTAGTGAACTGTTTTATTATCTTTTATATTTGTGATTTCATTTGTTTTGTATAAGTTTTGGGATGACACGTACATTATGTATCGGCCTTAGAACTTACTATAGTGTCCTTAGATGACTTTGGGTTCGGGTAAGAACCCGATTAGCGATTCGAACCATCGGGTTCGGCTCGTTACAGCCCAAATTTGGGACAACGTCGCGATAGGCTCTGTTTGCAATGGTTTCAAATTTGTTAATTATTGGTCGCAATTTTTTCTTTTATTGAATTAGTTTATGATTGATTGGTTTGTGTACGAGAGATTACTTACTCAATTGGTTTTTTCTTTTTAATTCACAATTGGGTTATCTGATCTCCACAACCTCCACTGCTGAGGGTTATCTGATCTCCACAACCTCCATTGCTGAGGGTTTGCAGACAATGTGAAGGGAAAAGAGAAATGTGCGTGAGAGATGAGTGGGTTGGTTTTTAAAATTACATAAATACTCATAATTTTTAGTAGGTGGTAGATTTTAGTGGGGGTAGTTTTGTACAATAGTTTTTCCATATATATATATAATATAATATAATTGTAAATTGAAAAACATTTAAGGATAATTTAGTCTTTTAATCTAGTTTTGTAGCTAATTTACATGGTATCAGAACTCTGCATGTGACGGTTGGGTTGTGAGTGAAAAACGGAATAAACATTTGTAGTATGGGTGATAGTAATTTTCAAAAGTCATTTCAGAGTAATATTTGACCAAACCTAAATGGATGTTAATGAAATTAACCCTAATATTAAATGTTATAAATGACATGTTAAAGGCATCATTTTCTCTGAAAAGGATGGGAGCAACAAGGCTGTTTCGTATATGAGTGTGTATATATATATATATATATATAGTACTAGGTATGTCAAGGGATATCCCAATCTCTTAACTAATTAATGGACCAAAATGATACTTGGTTCCAAATCGACGCTTATATGTAGTCACTAATACTCTCAACTAATTAATGGACCAGAATGATATTTGGTTCCAAGTCGACGCTTATATGTGTAGTCGCTAATACTCGTTGACACTAAATGTTAAAGGCATCATTTTCTCTGTAAAAGATGAGTGGCAGCAAGGTTGTTTCGTGTGTGTGTGTGTGTGTAGAAAAGTGAGACAAGATCCAATGTTACACGGGAATACTTTTTCAAAGAGCAAGGTCTTTTTGAAGGTTCAAAACATTTTCTTGGTCTCAATATTGGACCAGCCCTTGGATGAGTGGCAACAAGACTGTTTCGTATCTGAATATCCAATGTTGCACGGGAATATTTTTTGAAAGAGTAAGGTCTTTTTGAAGGTTCAAAACATTTACTTGGTCTCAATATTGGACCAGCCCTTGCATGATACGTCTAGCCATTAATAAGAAGAGAAATGCAAAGTGCAATTGTAATTGCCGGTGTGAGTCGTAATATGAGACTCACTAATACTCATTGACACTAAATGTTAAAGGCATCATTTTCTCTGTAAAAGGCGAGTGGCAACAAGGCTGTTTCGTATCTGAATATATATGTGTGTGTGTATATATATATATATATATAGTGAGAGACAAGATCCGATGTTACACGGGAATACTTTTTCAAAGAGTAAGGTCTTTTTTAGGTTCAAAACATTTACTTTGGTCTCAATATTGGACCAGCCCTTGCATGAGACGTCTAGCCATTAATAAGAAGAGAAATGCAAAGTTCAATTGTAATTGCCGGTGTAAGTCGTAATATGAGACTCACAAAATTCAAAAGCTGAGCTTGCGAAGTTCAGTGCAGATAACTCTAATATGAAAGCAATTAACACAAATTTGTAGGCATAATTTTGTCCGGGTAAGAAAAAAAAATGGATGCAATAAAGTCCTTTCCCATATGAACTCAGAACTTATATACATATTAGGCGTGAGAGAGAAAACCCAATGTTATACGTAGTATGATTTTTAATTTTTTAATTTTTGAAAGCCAAAGTATGTACCAATAGGACAGTGGTCTAGTAGTATCAAAGTTATATTTTCCAAAAAAATGTTAGGAACTAAGGGTTCGAACTTCAGTGAAAAGTTGTGTGCGAAAGAATCAACTAAGAAAAAAAAAAGAATTTACTTAAAATTATGTTAAATAATTTTAAAAAGAAGAACTTTTAAGTGGAATGTTAGAAGTTAAGGGTTCGAACGTCAGTGAAGGGATGTGTGTGAAAGTATCAACTAAGAAAAAAATATATATATGTACTTAAAAATCATGTTAAATAATTTTAAAAAGAAGAACTTTTAAGTGGAATGATATAATTATCATGGAAACAGGTACTTATATAATTTCAAATTATTAAAATGCTGGTGAGTATTTTATCGAGTACAAAAAAATGCAAGTGAGCATTGGAAAAGACTTCTCTCTTTTTGCCACCGTAGAATTATCTTGATAACATTATTGTATTAAAAATACAAAATATCGATTTGGGTTATTCACTTAAATGACTAATGAATAAAGTCAATCCTGATTTGTCCATAATTTTTGGTGTTTGGTTGTCATAAAATATTGACGAAGAAAAAAAAATTTAAAATCTAACAAGGCAAATTTATGTACCAATTTTTAGTAAATTATTTTACACACCCCATCTCATGGACTTGACGTCAAACACTACAAAAGAAAAACATATATATTTTACCTAAAAAAAATATATATTTTCAATCGAAACAAGCAGAACTGTAAAAAAAAAAAAAAAAAAATTCAATAACCTAACGGGGGCTAATTGAGTTAAACATATAAAATTTTGTCTCTGCAATACTGCATTGTAAGAAAAAGACCATTGTTCTTTAAATAAAAAGACATTTATATGATTTTATATCATTCCCCTAGTATTGTTGTAAAGCTGATTGATTTGCTGTAATATAACATGGAATGATTTAGGCATCAAGTTGAAGATTATACTATGTCAATTGCTTATAATATTTCAGAGATAACCCAACAAAACGAGTTGGACAAAATGAAATACCACATGCTTCCTAACCAAATATAAAGAACATATATTCTACTAGCAGGAGGAATGGCATGGAATTGGCAAGTGGTTGGTTTGGGTTATACATGTACTTTGATTTGTATGCGTCAATTATATCATACCATTGGAACTAACTAACATAACTAAGGGTAAATTCCACTTATTTCTTTTGAGATTTGTCAATATTTTATAGGACTCATCTACGTTTTATAATCTCACTTACATTCTCTATTAATGACCGTATGTGTTATTTTTTCTTTTTATTCAATTTTATACTAATTAAAGATATCATTTCAAGCATTAGAAGGACAAAACTGATTTTCTATCAAAATTCTCGTACTGATATTAACATAATTCGTCAGGTGACTGACGATAAAGGAAAAATCTATTACATAAATCAGGTTGGTAAGTGGAATTATGAAAGATAAAGGAGTCTATATAAGATATTGACGGAAGTAAAATTTACACAATAACTAAGTCAAATTATATTTTGGCCAAAAAAATGTAAAGTACATATGATAAGTAAATCACTGAATATAATGGTTCCTTGCTAGATAGTAAATCGTACCCATTCAAATCCAACCCTATACATGCAATAAAATGACATCTATATATATATATATATATAAACTAGATAATTACTAATAAATTCCTAGCTAATTCTATATTAAGAACTATGAATTTGATTAGAGTCTTGAGGGAGTTTCCAAAGCTTGACTTGTGGTTCCTCTTAGAGCTTCTTCTCAACAATCTCAATAACTCATGCAAAGCCTCAGGTGTGAGGCGTAGAACTTGAGCCAAATGCCACTCTGGGCGCTCATCCATGTCGGCAGACTCCTATGGAAGACTCTTATTAGACCTTACCATTAATAGGTGCACAAACTCTTGAAGGCTGTGCAACCATGGATCTAATTTTTTAGGATCTATGACTGAACACCCATCAAAAAGAAGAAGGAGATCAAAATGTGTTTGGCAATGAAGTACGGGGTGTATCCTTTTTTAGGGCTATAATATCTATTTTCCTCGTTAGGAGGAGCCACAACATCTTTCCCGTTTTCTTTCTAACATCCTCCCGTTCATTGGGGCTAGATTTAGGAGACATTCTCCTTCATTCTCTATTCTTGTTTAGGCTTAGTAGTGGGATTTAGAAGGGTAAGAATGGGTAGAATGACCAAAAGAATTACAATCTACACATTTTTTAAATTAAAATCCATGTACTGCAATCTCTATGCTGAAACAAATAATGAAGTAACTGAACTAGGATAATAAAATCCATAAAACACATATAATTATGCTTTTGATGAATATAACTTTGATCAATGCATAATGCCACCATCCAAAGTGAACAATCAGTTTACACCAAAAATGACTCCAAACCGCTTACCAAAGAAGAAAGAGGACTCCAAACCCAAATCAATTACAGTACTTAACACAAATACAATACATTTAAGAAGTCCAACAATGAAATATCATGTAATAGTTCTTAGCTAGATCTTCTACATCATTGAATGGTGCCACAACTTTTATTTGCCTGTTGTTTCTGTTTTCTGATTTATTGGCAACATCTCGGTTACTTTTCATGTACTGCAATTTCTGATTTATTGGCACGCCACACCCATCTCAGCCTCAATCAGCTGGCATGATTAATACACAACTTATCAGTAGTCTGAATAAAAGATAGATCACATCATCTACAATTGAGAATACCTACCTTTTGCTTTTTTCTCTACACCCTGTGGAATAAAATTGGTTAATCAAACTAAGCACTAAGTGTGCGAAGATGATAAGACTTACTTATAAAACAGATATTAGTTGTGTTCAGATTGTAGTTTTCCTATAAAAAATTACTTCATCATTCAGTACATCTTATTTTGATGGAGCAAAAATGATGGAATTACAAGGAACATAACTCGATTGTGATTGAGCTGACCTGATTACTGTGTATGTGCGCCCATTGAAAGTTGGACTATGAATCAAATAGGATGAGCTATGGGATTGAGATCTTCTAGCACCCAATTATTCTTCTCAAGGACATAACATAGGATGTTAGGGATATGGTGAACCAGATGACGCGATGCTCCACCATTCCTGAGCTGGGCCACAAATCCGTTGGGCATATCATACATGTGAAGCTCTTTGAGGTGATTGAGGTTATCAATGCCCACTGGAACCTGCTGCAAGTTACTGCATCGCCTTATGATCAGCTTTTGAAGACGAGGTAAGGTAGTCTTTGCCATTATGACCTTTCTCAATGGTTCCAATTGCTCAAGTTCCAAGATCTTAAGAGTTCCAAATTTTCTAGCAGTGAAATCTAACTGGTTTCCAGTAGGCATCGAGCAGATGGAGCTCCAATAGATTAGGAAGATCTTGAAGGATATCAATGGGGTTATAGTTGTGTGCTAACTTGGACCACTTAAGACGTATCCTTGACAGGCATTAAGTTTGGAAATCCAAATTGGTAACCTTTCTAGCCGCCCTTTCAGGTACAGGCGTTTAAGAAATGTTGGAGGATTGGTAATTGCTTGTAGATCGACAACCTCATTCTTGTGTAATGCTGTTACGTTCAAGGAATGGAGGTTTTGCAGCTGATCAATTGACTGGCACAACTTTGACCCATCTTTTCTTCGAAGAGCAATGATCCCCAACTTTCTCAGTTGTGTCAAATTTCCTAGCCCTTGAATCACTTTGTGATGCCGATTTGCCTTTATGAATGATAGCTTCTGTAAGTTGGGTGAGTTGATCTTTGCTGATACCTCAAATCCTTTAACACATTCAAAAGTAGTATAATTTTGTATGTCATAGTGATAAACAAGCAAATGCGGAAGTTTCTCAAGTTTGAGGACTTTTTTAGGCAGCTTTGCCACTGTAGTGTGCTTAAGATCCAAGGTCTCTAGGTACCTAAGATTCCCCAGAGACTTGGGAATGCTTTTGATATTGGTCTTTCTCAAACACAGATACTTCAAGAGCAGTAATTCCACAATTTCCGAAGGAAATTCCTCCAATGGTGCACCTTCCAGATGCAGAACTCTCAATAAGTTCAAGCTTGAAGTGGGTTTTGGAATGGAGCTGTAGGGTACACCGAACATAAAAAGGGTGCGAACACTCTTAAGGTTCCCATCCAACTTGTTGAGTCCACTACTTTGGACAGATAATCGACGGTTCCTGTCACCAAAGTTTATTTGTGATTCTGAAAAAACATTGCAAAAATTCTCCTCTCTTGACTTTGAGAGAATAATCTTGTGCATGAGATTATGTACCCGGCAAGTTTTTGGCTTCCCATCAAAATCTAATTCACTTTGAATCAAATTCCTGTTGGTGAGTTCTTCTAGATAGTCCTGTCCAATGTCTTCAAGTTCTTTGCCATTTTGTGCTCTTATAAAACCCTCTGCTATCCACAGCCGAATCAATACTCTTCACTTAACTGGATAATTACTCTCGGGGAAAATGGTCAAGTATAGAAAACAGTACTTGAGATGGTATGGCAAGTCACTGTAACTTAGAGAAAGTACTCCCATGGTGTTTGAAAGGTTGCCATTTTTGCTCAGCTCTGATTCTAGGCTTTCAAGCGACCTTTTCCATGCCGATTCAGATTTTTCTATAGTTGACAGAAATTGACCTAGTTCAATGATTGCAAGGGGCAATCCTTCGCATTTTGTTAAGCATTTTTTGGACCAGTCCTTCAACCCTGAAGGACATTCGCCACTTCCTGGGAAAGCCTTCTTGCAAAAGAGTTGTTGAGCCTTTTCCATAGGAAGAGGCTAGATGTTATAGACACCAGTAGAGTTATCTCTACATGAACATGATAAAGCTATATCGCTTCTCCGTGTAGTGACAATTATTCTACTGTGATTACCACTAGGTAATGCATATCTAATGGTTTCCCAAACATCTTTAATCCACAAATCATCAAGAACTACAACGTACCTTTTGTTTTGCAGATGCTCCCTTAGTTTTTTGGTTATGTGATCAACCAGGTCAACCTCGTTGACGTTGGAGAACCTCGGGGGAGTTGGCTCGACTGTTGGAATGCAGAATTCATCGAACATCCTGCATAAGATCTCCGGTTCCTTTCTTGACCTTGAAATAGTGATCCAAGCATGGCACTCAAATCCTTCATCCTTCACCGTCTCAAACACTTTCTTAACAAGAGTTGTTTTGCCCGATCCTCCCATCCCAACTACAAACATCACCTCGAGACTATGCCTCCCTCCTAGTGCCCAAGAAACCAGTGTATGCTTTGGTTCTTCAATCCCCACAATATCAGTGTCTTCAGCAAACAGAGAAGCTATTCTTGGATGATGGTATGTGTGGTTTCCAGTAATTGAACTTGAGGCTTGGGAGTACTGATGTTATGATATCTGTTCCTTGTCTCTTTGATGCTTGCGAGTTTCTTGTTAATTTGTTCAATCGATTCCTTGAGGTCGTGGTTTGTTTTCCACTTGGTGAAGTACTTGCCGTGTTTAACATACTGTTGAGCCATGTGAAACGTAAAAAAGTCGAGAACATTCTCGATGTCATAAGCCCCATCTCGGACTTGTTGAAGCCAGTCAGTGACTAGGTGAGTGTGCTCTGTTTCGCTATCAGCATCCTTCAGAAGTGCGCTAATGGTTCTGTATTCACCTCTCAAGCTTTCAACCTCTGTACTAATCTTTTCCGGCAAGTTCCATTCTGCCTCTAGCCAAACCTCAAGTTTATTCAGTAGAAAGTAGACAGGATTATCTGCCATATCTCTCTGTATGTGTTCTTTTCTATCTCCGAACTTGTAGAGGATACAAGACTGCCTCTCAATGGTTTTTTATGAATGACAGTATTTGTGTGTGTGAATGCATGAAAGGGTCATATCAAGGTGTCATCTCATTTCTTTTTCTCACTAATGCATCTCATGATCTCTAAACTTAAAAATGAAACTGAGACATTCAATGGCAAAGATACCACTTGAGTAGCACCAATAATTCTGACAGATATTTCAAAGTTATTTATTTATTTGCAAAACCGTTGCCAGTACACTTTCATTGACTGATTGTTCAGTTGGGTAAAAGTGAAAAAAATAAAGGAATAACTACCGATACATGGCTTAAGGAGCAAATACTACACTATAATGAGGTCAAAGTCTTGAAACAACAAGAAAATAGGACGACCACACAAACTATTTTAAACACTTGGAAGGACCACATGAACTATTTCTATAATTTGAACTTAATTTCTACTTTGGACCACACAACAAGCTATATTATTATAATGACCCAAAAACATAAAAACCTTAGAACATGAAATAATTATACTGAAAGATCCTTGAACAAAATATTTAATATTTTTCTAAATTTTTAATTTTTTCACGGTAGATAAATAAGGACTTATAGACTTATTCAGGCAAAAGATCTTATATATAAATTAAATTTAGCGAAACAGTATAGCTCTGATATCAAAATTAAATCGAATGCTACCAATATAGAAGCATGCAATAACATAGAGATAAATTTAACAATAAAATCATAGAAATGACTGCCGAACTTGATAACGCTTTGATAACGCCCTGTAAAAACGCCTGAACACTGGCAAAAACGGACCAACAAGCCAACAGTTCGAGTCAATTCACAAAACAAAATACTAAATTAAAACTAAGGCTGCTTGTACTAGTTAGCCGGATTCAAGAAAATTCTAGGATCTACACTGTCTGGCTAAATAAAATCTATATAATTGATCTTTTTGTCGATAGAAGTCTTTTGCCCGAAAAAACTAAAAATACTAAATACTGAAAAGGAATTTTTGGAATAAGAACAAACTAGATAATTTATTTCATGAAGACGGTATACATGGAAACACACTCACACAATATTTTACAAAAGGAAACATACTGAAAGAAATCACAAAAGAAAACACATTAGGAAGCTATGGGTGAATGTTTGATGGGAGCTAAAACTTGATGGCTCTAAACTCGATGATCTTCTTTTGAGCTGAAAGCTTCCTTTTATAGAGTGATTTGAGGGATGGATCAATGTTCGAAATTGCAGATGCTGCATAGATAGCTGAGATGTAAGATGTTTTGGAGATAAGGTTCTTTGAATTATTGCAAGACACCTTTATCATTAAGCTGTTGTCCTTTAGAAATTTGTGGCTTCAGAATCTGCTTTCAGTGGATTCTTTTTGTTATGGCCCGAACTCGTAGGTCCAAATCGCTAGCCGGGTCCTTACCCGAACACGAGACCACCTAAGTCAACATTCCGAGTCTAGTGCCAAAAACATTATTCTTAGGTCATATTTATACTTCACAAGCTCTATGTAACTTCCCATGATTCTAGATGAATTATGCCAGAACAAGGAATAAGAAAGGCCAAGCAGCATCAGTTCGGTCGATCGAAGTGATGCTTCGGTCGACCGAAGCAAACCCCTCCTGAACCGGTCGGCCGAAGTGGCCAACCGGTTGACCGGTTGTGATTCCCTACAGTAGTTGAAGCTACTGGAAGAACCGGTCGGCCGAAACAGGCATTTCGGCCGACCGAAATGGCTCTGCGAGCTAGCCCTGCCACTGGAAATGCCATGACATGAAGGTAGATAAGAGGGTTACTATGGTCCTTAAACTAAAGAATTGCAGTCCAAACACATGCAAGATATTGAATATACATCTCCATTCATTCATGGTTAATATCAACCCGTTTATACATGATTCTTTATAATCTTTAACAAAAACACAAAAGTTTACAAAATTTACATTTCCAAGAACTTCACTTAGAACTTTACAAAAGACCTCGGCTTCATATACAAAATACAACATCAACAAAAGTCCCAATCCCGTCTAAAATTGTGGTGGGTTGTCGTCCGCCACTTCTTTCCCCGAACCTGAAAAATTGTTAAGATAATGGGGTGAGCTAAATGCCCAGTAGGAAGTGTCTAAGACGCACTTCTTATAATCTCGTGAATCTATACAATGAATAGATAAAAGGAAACGGAGTCATGCTAAAGGGAGTACATGTCAACAACCACAATGATGTAATATTTCTGATTTTCATCTTTTTCCATTTTAAAGATTTTTCATTGTTGCAAGGGCATTTTTGTCTTTTTTATTTTGCGTACCGGACACCGTGGGGTGTGTCAGGTGTGTTGGAGAGTTGTTTGGAGCATTCTATTGAGTTCAGGACTCTTGAAAATGTAAGGGTTGCCATTTCGGTATTTTTCTATTTTCGGGCCGGACGGTCCCGGGTGGGACCCACTACCTGAATTGTGGTGCATAAGAGTTGTGTCTTGGGCCATTTACATATCATACATATTTATTTGTGTATAATTTTAATATTGTAAGTAATTTGTGTGGTTGTAGTAGTTGGTACACAAGTGTTTATATTTTATGGTGTTAAAATTTCAAAGGTGGGATTTTTGTGAGTGGAGGGACCCACCACTTGATTTTTAGTGGCCAAGAGGCCAATTCAGCCCCATTCTTTCTTTCTCCCCGTAAATTTCTCTCTCACTCTCTTGTTATTCATTTTTCTTTTTCTTTTGTTACAAAAAATTCAAGTTTTAATTACTTCCTTATCTCTTGGAGTTTTTGGGTGCCGTTTGGGGCAAAACAGAGAGCACGGCGAGATATACGCGTGAGTATAAGCAATTTCAGTTTTGGTGCACCCTAGGGAGTTCGAAATCTAGGGCATAAATTGGGGCTTTTTCTCTAATTAAGAGGTAGGGGTGTTCTAATGCATGAATTCTTGTACTTTTGTGAGTTTTCTAGCTTAAATTGATGTCTAACATGTTCAATTGGTGTAAAATTTGTTCAAAACTATGTTTAAATAATAAGCATGGAATATATGTAACTACATGTTAGTTGTTTTGTGGTGATTAATCATGTTAGTTGTTTTATGGTAATTAAACATACTTACATGAAGTTAAATTCATGCCTTATATGCTTGTCATGCAAAGTTAATGTTGAATAATAGCTTTAGTTATATAGTTCAGAGAATTTGTTTTATATAGTATGTGTGAAAATGTTATGGTTATATTGATGATTAGAAACATGAGGCACTCATGCATTCATTTGGGAAGGAAAAAGGGGGAAAAGTGTTTTTAAAACAACTGAAATTGTTTTGGGAAAATATTTTCTAAAAGTGTTTGTGAAAACCGGACGCCTAGGAGGCGCCTAGTGATCTGTGATGTTAGTGTAGTCTAGAAGGGAGTGTGGTTGAGCTAACTAGGTCAGATGCAAAGCCTTGGAGGTGCCCGTCGGATTACAATAACAGTTTGGTTGTTGAAACGGAATTGTTTCGGAGATGGGGAGTGGCATTTGTATAACATTGCACTTCATGGCATTTGTAGTAAATCCGTGATCGGTTGATATTTGCTATATACTTGTTGTTGTGGTTAAGAGCATGTGATCCCTATGGCACGATACCGTTCCTTTTTATCTACTCATTGTATGGATTCACGGGGCTATAAGAAGTGTGTCGTAGACACTTCATACTCAGCTTATGCTCACCCCATTATTTAACATTTTTCAGGTTTGGGTAAAAAAGTAGCAGATGACAACCCACCACCATTCTAGGCGAGATTGGGACTAGTTGATATTGTATTTTGTACATGCAGCCTAGGCCTTTTTGCAAAGTTCTAAACGAGGTTCTTGGAAATGTATATTTTTGTAAACCTTTGTGTTTTTGCTAAAGATTGTAAAGAATCATGTATAAAAGCGTTGATGTAACTTCTAAGTGCATATTGTAATTTATATTCATCAATCTTGTATGTGTATGGTATGGAATCACTCAATTTTAAAGATCCATTTTTGACAATTGTTCACTCCCAGGTGCATGGAGTTTTCTGCAAATTTTTAGCCCGCATGACCATTTCGGTTGACCGAAATAGCCACTTCGGCCGACCAAACCGTCCCGAGACTTCATTTGCTATCCAGATCAGAACTGGCCAACTAGAATGAACATTTCGGTTGACCGGCACAGGTGCTATTTCGGTCGGCCAAAGCACCACTTCGGTCGACCGGTTTGTCTATTGTTCGTGCATCTCGTCCTCTTCTCTTGGTAAAGTTAATCTTGAGTCTTGTGAAGTCGCTTGGGATCTTTGTGGATCATGATAATAAAATAAATAATGATGTAACATACTGAATTTGATGGCATTGACTTAGGTGACCTTTGCTTCGGGTAAGGACCCGGTTAACGGTTCGGACTTGCGGGTTCGGGTCGTTACAAACGACATGTATAAAACAAATGTCATCCAAACATATATACATTGTGTATACTAATGAAGTGCAATGTCATGCAAATGTCGCTCCCCATATCCGAAATATTTCAGTTTCAACTTCCAAACCGTTAGTGTAATCCGACCCAAGGCACCTCCAAGGCATCGCGAAAGGAGGATTGACTAATTATCCATGACCACAAGGCACCTCATAGGTGTTCGGTTTTCGCATACACTTTTAAAAAACATCTCATTTCCCAAAACAAGTTTCATTTGTTTTAAAACACTTTTCCCTTTTCTTTTCCCAATGAATGTATGAATGCTTCATGCTTTAATTCGTCAATTCAACCATAAAATCTTCACACATACTATCCAAGTAAATTTCTAAAATGCATAACTCAAGCTTTCATTCAACATTGACTTTGTATAATAAGCATATAAGACATGGCTTTAAATTCATATAGGCCAACTTAATCACCGCAAAACAACTAACAAGTAGTCACATATATTCCATACTTATCATTTAAATAATTTTTGTAAGAATTTATACCAATTGAACATGTTAGACATCAATTTAAGTTAGAAAACTCACAAAAGTACAATAAATCAAGCGTTAGAACACCCCTGACTCAAGAAGAAGAAAACCCCCCAAATTATACCCTAGAATTCGAAATCTCTAAGGTTCACCAAAGCTGAAATTGTTTGTATCAACTTGAAAATCTCATCGAGCTTTTCGTTTTGCCACAAATAG